ATGCTCTCTGATTTATTCAAAACTGAATTAGTGTCAGATAAAATGAAGGCTGTCTGGAAAAAAAATACATCTGCTAGAGTACTTCACACTGAATTTGAAAGTGATAAAAATCATTGTTAGGTGATTAGTGAAACCCTTTTTCTAAAATTGTGGATAGTAGCACGGCCTCTCTGTTGTCTTTTGTATTTAGACAAGTGTGGAAGCTCCAAGTAAAGGTATAATGATAGTGAGAAATGAAGGCTGTGGATTGAATAGTCAGGGCCGAAATCTGGAGCAACAGTTGAAATGCCCCAAGAGAGGCTGAAGAGAAATGCACACGTATGTGTACGTGGGTGTGTGACAGTAGACACTTTTGGAATAATCAGGTTGTGTTGAAGACTGTTCAAGGCATGTGGGGAGCACAGAATTCATAGACTCAGTCCTGCTGGTACTAGGCACAGAGACTCCTGCAGGTAGCTTGGAATAGTCAGTGGGGAGTGAGTGAAGTGCTGATATGTCACCTCTTCTGTGTCCTTCTCAGACCTCCCTATTGTTTTAAAATACTTCCAATTTTCTATTAATACACTGTATCGCGAGGCCAAGAGAGCAGAAGATGCCTGCCAGTGAGGAGATAATTTGTTATGTATAGTTCCCATGAGAAGGGAGCACTTGGGGAATAACCAGAGTCAGTCAGCAGGTGGGGAGAGGAGGAAACTGTGGGCAGGGGCTTTATTGTGGCTTCCGTAGGGTGGGATGGGCAAGGCAGGGCTAGCAGGTTCAGGTCTGTCTAGTTTGAATACTTGCAGTGGGCTCTGAGGCTAAAGAGCTATTTGTAGTTGGCTGGTGCTTGGCTGTGGGGTGATAGGGTGGGTGGATAGTGGCTGGAGTGTGAGAGCCCGATATAGGAGCTGATGGGTGTGGGCTATGGACTGGATGGTCTACATTTGAACAGCATGCCCTTGCGTGAGTTGCTCACTATCTCTAGGAACTGGTAACCTCTAGGTTAGCAAGGCCCCTGATGTCAGAGCATCAGGATAAAGAAACTACATGGTTACTACACATAGATGGAGTTAAGCTTTTCTCTTTTGTGCCCTAGTAACATCTTAAGCGAGTCCCCGGGTTAGCACTTACAGCAGTTCTGCCAAGTGTACAGTGAGCCTCCCAGTGTCACTGTGTTGTTTTGTCTGCAGTCCTCTGTGGTCAAGAAAGAGATGTCTTGAATGCAAGGCTGAAGGCCTTTGGCAGGGGTGGGGTGGGGCATCAAGGGACATTGACTTGTAGAAATGAATGACAGGGACAGACATTCCCTATGTGGGGAACAACCTGAGCTAGCTCCTAGATATGCTAAAATGACAGGGGTGTTTGGTATTGGGGAGCTGCTGAGTTCAGGAGAAGATGGAGGAAGGTATTTAACTGGTGTGGATATGTTTTAGACATGACGGTGGGACGTCAGCGTGCTTCGTGTGTAATTAGGGTTCTGTGTATTTGAATAGTTGTAGGTCCAAATAAATGTGGGTGGTGGCTGGGGAGATGCTATACTGACAGATATCCGGGCATGTCAAAGGTTTAGAAATATGGGGAGAGAGCAGCATTTCATCCTGAATAAATACAAAATGAATGTGGAAGAGGAGAATATGGTGCACACAGTCAGCATTCAGCTCCTCAGCTCTTGGACAACCTCTTTTTGATAAACTATTTAGAGGATAATTAATGCTTGGGCCAGTTTCACAGACCAGCATTACAAGCAGACTGCTGATGAGTTCAGTTGTGTGCAGTGCGTCCGGTTCATTAGCTCATCTGCGGTATCTTTAGAAACTTTTGCCAGCCCCTCCCTTCCCCCTTTGTTATTTAGAGGATAATTAATGCTTGGGCCAGTTTCACAGACCAGCATTACAAGCAGACTGCTGATGAGTTCAGTCGTGTGCAGTGCGTCTGGTTCATTAGCTCATCTGCGGTATCTTTAGAAACTTTTGCCAGCCCCTCCCTTCCCCCTTTGGTTGCTCTGTGCTTCTTTATGGACGTCATCTTTTTTGTGGCTTAATTTCCTCCTAGTTCTCATGGACTGGTTCCCTGCTGATCAGTGTTCAGTATTTTTATTTCCCACACATTATTCTTTTATTAAGTTTACTAATGGATTTTTTCCTAATGATGAATTCTAGTTTTCTAGTTTATTTTATTGTTATTAGGTACCATCCTATTATTCTAATTGATTCTTCAAGAAACAAATAACTCACATTAAATCTTTTACACTTTTGCTTAAAGACCTCAAGTTCTACAATTTTCATATTTTAGTACTCCTACCCTGTGTGTGCACCTCTTCCTTTAATAATGTATTTATTGCTATCTATTTTCTGAGGTTAGACTTTAGCCTCAACCAGCAAATTATTCTTGTTTCATTATTATAATCAGAATAATAATTAACATTATAGCAGTCAATATATAAGATGCAATAAAATTTAAACAAGTCACTTTTTTTATGAGTGACATTTTATGACAGACACTGTTCTAAGTAATTTATATATATAATAAGTCATTAATTCCTCATTTTGTGAGTAGGTACTCACCCATTTCCCAGTGGGAAAATGTTGTTATTCCCATTTTGTGGGAGGAAACTGAGACACCGAGGGGTGAAGTGATGTGCTGTAGGCAGTGCGCCTAAGTCTGTGGATGAGAGAGTGTGGTCAGTGTGCTCACCACCGTCTTCATAGACGTAAGGCAGAAATAGTGAATAAGCACGTTGAAATTCAGCAGAGCTCTTTACTGGTACCTGCCATCCATGTTTGCCCTCCTCCACTTCAGTCTCCTTGTTACCCCTGCCCCAGACCTTTTGTGAACCAGCCGTATTCATCCTTAGGTTTCAGTTCCATGGTCACATGCACAGAGAGGCTGCCCTGACTCCTCAGATAGCTCAGCACCCGCCCCCCAAATGTTTCATAGCCCTTCAGTCCCTCCGTGTAGCACCAATCACAGTGTGAAGGTGCGTTAACCTGCACAGTTTGATCAATGTCTGTCTTTCCCAGTAGAATAACATTTCATTGTGGGAGGGACCTTGTCTGTCTTCACACTATTGCATCCTTGTCACCTCACATGCCACTGGGTGTGTGGTGGGTGCTTAGTAAGTATTTATTGAATGGATGAACCAAAGGTTATGAAGAAAGGAGAAAGAAAAAGACTTATGGTGTGCTTCCCACAGCCCAGGTTCTACAGGTACACTATACCATTCATGGCTGTACTAGCTGG